CTTCACATACCACCGTGACACCACTATTTTGCATGGTACTTTTCTCATCTTGTTCTTTGGTATAAAATGTGTATCCATTAATTTTGTATCCTCTATAAGAGAACACAATCGAACTTGGACCATATGCCAAACATCTCAACCTGTCTGATATTGAAGCGGGATCTGAATGAAACTTTGAATATATATGATCCTTAAACCACTGTATAAAACTTTGATTGTGCTCTCGTACTATCCAATTTTCATTTCTACTTTGATTATCACCTCAGAGTATAGCCTTGTGTATTTTAACAAACGGCTCAACCTCAGTGTCATTGTGCAGAACATACAAATGCACTTGATCCCGTTCATCCCTTGATACTGTCACAATTTCATTTCCAATTAATTTGTTACCTTCTTTTTTTCCGAAGAAATGAGATTTGGGGAGTACAATGGATTTCACATTGGACAAAAAATCAGTACAAAACTCAACCGCTTCTTCAACAACGTATCGCTCAACGATACAACCCTCTGGACGACTTCGGTTTTTCACGTACCCTTTTAATATTTTCATATAATGTTCAACAGGGTACATCCATCTCATATAAGCTGGTCCACACAATTGTGTCTCTTTCACAAGATGAACAACAGGATGTACCATAATGTCAAAAAATGATGGAGGAAAATACATTTCAAGGTCACACAGAGTAATAACGATTTCTTTTTGTAATACTGGTAAGATCTCAGGATCGATCACCTTACTATAAATTGACCTGGAAAAAAAACACAATCTAGTTATAGCGCTTCTTACTTTTTCTGGCAAAATAGAACGTATACCAATTGGTAGAAAATGTTCCATTATGACATGGCAATCATGTGTCTTCAGACTCTTTAACTTGAGGTCTTTCATGGACACGAGTCTTCTAATGTATGAGGAGTAACCTTCTGGAACTTTAACTTCACTCAGAAACTTACACAATATTTTCTTTTCCTTTCTAGATAGAGTATAAGAAGCAGGTGGTAGATATGTTCGTCTTCCTTTCTTCACGGGTCCTAATTCAGTTCTTATTCCCATCTCTACCATGTCCTCTCTTGTTGTAAGGCCATCTTTAGACTTTCCTTTTATATTGAGTAACGTACCAATAACACTTTCAAATACATTTTTTTCAATATGCATAACATCAAGAAAATGTCTTACGTACAAAGATTTCCAATATGGCAATTCAAAAAAAATTGACCTCTTCTTCCACCCACCTGTGACAACTTTATGTGCAAAAGGCTTGCCAAACTGAATACTCACATCTTTCACCTTTTCACAAATTTGATCACCTGTCAATTCAGGTGGAGCTCTACGTTGTTCGGTATTTCCATTGAACGCTTTTCTCCATCCACGATATTGATGTTTTGAATTTAAGAATCTACGATGACCGAGAAAGACATTCTTTTGACAAAGTTTCAATCGTGTCGTATCGGTTCCATCTTCACAGACAGGACACGCTTTTTCACCTTTAATGCTATACCCGGATAGATTTCCATATGCTGGAAAATCGTTAATTGTGCCAAACAACATCGCCCTCAAATTGAAACTTTCTTTCCTATATCCATCATAAACCTCCACACCGTTCTCCAACAAAATCTTCAAATCTTCGATTAAAGGTTTCAAGTATACATCTATGTCATTCCCTGGTTGTTTAGGCCCAGAAATTAACATAGATAACATCATGTACTTGCGCTTCATACATAGCCATGGAGGTAGGTTATAAATCATAAGAATCACAGGCCATGTGGAATGTGAGATACTTTGAAGACCATGCGGGTTCATTCCATCCGTAGATAATGCCAAGCGAAGGTTTCTTGTTTCTCCTCCAAAATCAGGATAATCATTATCAATTTTCTTCCACTGTGGTGCATCTGCCGGATGTCGAAACTTTCCATCGATAATTCTTTCATCTGCATGCCAAGTCAAGTGTCTAGCATCGGTTTCACTACGAAACATGCGTCTAAATCTCGGAATAATAGGAAAATACCATAAGACTTTCGCTGGAGATAATTTTTTCTTATATCGAGATAAACCACACTTTGGGCACTCATTCAACGATGCATATTCGTTTCGAAACAAAATACAATCATTTAGACATGCATGTATCTTATCATAGCTCATGCCAATAGAGCACAACATTTTTTTGGCCTCGTAGGTTCGATTAGGAAGAACATTATCCTCAGGAAGCATATCTCTCAAAAGGGCTCATAACTGTGTGAAACTTTTATCTGACCATCCATTGCGCGCCTTTAAGTTGTACAATTTTAATACCGTAGACAATCTTGTGAATTTGGGGCAATCTTTATACAACGGTTTCTCCGCATCGCTTACCAACCTCTCAAACATTTTGGGACAATCTTGAAGATCTTCTTCAAGTGCTTCTGCAATCTCTTCCACCCGATCACAATCATATGTATCCGTGGCATTGTCGTACGAAACATAGGTCGCATTACTTTTCACCCCCGGTTCAACATTCTCGATGCTTTTCTCACCATGAAATATCCAACACGTATAACTTCGATCAATTCCGCGCATTAGTAAATGCGATTTTAATCCATCTGCGTCAACCCGACCCACATAACAACAACCCAAGCAAGGACATTTCATTCTATTCGGGTCTTCAGCGTGTTCAACAGCAAACTTAACGAACTCTAATACCCCATCCTCGTACTCTTTTGACAATCGATCGGCACACATCCATTTTTTATCCATGGTTTTAACTATTATCTAAGTTAAAGACTCTGTGTTGTCAACAAAAATCAAACATGTGATTAGAACAATTCTAGAAATGAGGATTGTTGTGGTCCTATAACATATTCAATCAATGATCGTCAACATTACTATTTTAGAGACATTAGCTTAGTTGTGAACTCATTCTAAGATTCATGATTTGTGTTATTTTTTACTATTACTAAGTTGAATATTAGATGGGGGATTTACATGATGTGATTCCTTTGTTCCTTGCAGGCATGTCTACATGAGCTAAGCATACATTATGAGAAACAGAAAAGAAACAATGTAGGGAAATTAAGTGTCATGTTGAATGGTAACTCCAACATCTCCTAGTTATGCTTTGTTATGACTCGGTTTGTCTCTGCTATGTACAAACTCAATCCTCCACTATCTTATTCTTCTCCCATCATTGAGAAATCTAAGATTATTAAACCCATTACAAGTATTTTGACTAGTCCATAATATATCTTAGATTTAAAAAAAATCAAAATAAAAGTTTCAAAAGAGAGAATAGAAGCCATAATACCTAAGGTTCCTCGGCTTTTACTCGCAGAGATTGTTAATTTTCTATTTCGCCGTAAGAAGAGAAACAATAAGAAGATGAAGATTCCAGCAAGAGCAGAAGAAGCAATCAATGCTAGTAGAATTCTCTTATTCAAATTCTGGTGATGCACTATTCTAACATCTTGATTTCCTGTATCATTCATTGTAAAAACAATACATCAAAGATTAACCGGTGGAAGTGCAGGAAATTCATTATCGTCAATTTAAAACTAACAAGACCAAAACTATTAATCGTGGACACATTGCTTAAGCTAAAATCACCATCTAGTAAAATTAAATCTTAGAGTATACGTCAGTTGATGACATGAACTCACCTGATATGAGTAATGGGTGTGAACATCAATTGATGACATGAAACAAGATTGTGTAGGATGAGTCTGGCAATTCAGAATTATATATGTCAGCATTGCAACACGGATATGGGAAGAATATAGAAGTAAAAATAATAAATTTGTGTATGATATAAATGAAACCGAGGAGTGCTGCTAACAAGTAAAACACGCATTTTCATTCTCTTTTAGTATTACATGAAATATTGAGTGGATCCCACTAAATAACATGGAACTACTCCTTATCAATGAGGCCTACATGCAATATTATCAAATAATTGGGTGTTGAAAAGAATCTATTGCTAATATTAACTAGAGTAACAAAACAAAACTTGAACTCTCCTTGTAAACAAATAGAATCACAACCTTATGATCATTGTATAAACAAAAGAGCTTACATCAAGTTGTAGCAAGTACACATGTATAGAAGAATGATACATTGATAATAATTATAATAGTTAAAAATATAAAATATCAAATTTGGAGTGTGTGTATTATCTTGAGATTCTCAAGTTCCTAACTCTAATAATACGCATGAAAATTTGCTTCATAATTGACCAAAATTTGTTTTTTCCCCATGCATGCCTTGTTATAAGGTTTCTCCATCATAAAATAAAAAATTAAATTAAAAACATATACGTAATTTCTTAACATCAGTGTCAATGTCTTAGGCAAGTTTTACTGATGTTGATTTCCCTGCCATACCATTACCATGATAACATCGACACTTTGCATTGATAAGTCAATAAGTGACCAAGAGTTTCACTTAAGTGAAATGAAAACCTGAATAAATGAAGTCTTTGCCACTGTAGTTGAAGTTGTGTTTCACAAGAGTTTCATTGTCAAAGCAAGACAAAGATGAGAACAATAAATAGATAAACCATAAAAAAACTTACCAGAGAGAAACATGATACCTTTTGGTTTCAACACAGAATTTTGAAGCACCCCACTGTCATTAAAGAGAACAAAACAGACTTGACATAAGAAGCTAACGAAAATGCTTTAAATTAAAATGAATCAACACCAAATTACCGCCAACAATTAACAGCCCTATCTGAGATGGTGCACCGATTGACTCCAATGACGAATCTGATGCAAAGGCGGGAGACAACGACCTGTAAATCATAGATAAAAATAGAATTGAAAACCAGTTTACTTCAGACTCAAGATCACGCGAAAAAGCCAATACATAATTGACCACCACTGTAATACGCTCTCCAGACCACACAATTGTCTTCCAGGCCAGCAAAAATAATTGTTGTTATTAAAATATTAGTATAAGATATGCAACAGACTTGACATAAGAAGCTAACAGAAAAGCTTTCCCTATAACTCTTCCACAGACTTGTACTACTGATATGAAAAATCAGCTTAGTAAACCATACTCTCTGAATGAAGTCTATATTGCTATGAAAAATCTGAAAGGAGGGGCGGCCTCGGGACCTGATGGCATTTCTTCGTCTTTCTATTAAACTTATTAGCATATTGTTGGTAAAGATATCACATCTACGGTGCTGAACATTCTCAATAACCACTCTAGCCTTGCCTATTTTAACAAAACCTACATCAAACTCATCCCCAAAATAAAGAACCCCACTCAACTAAAAGACTTTAGACCTATAGTCTTGTGTAATGTTCTCATGAAAATTATTACAAATGTGTTGGCTAATAGACTTAAATATTTTCTGCCTAAACTCATTAGCAATAATCATAGTGCCTTTGTCCATAAGAGACTCATTTATGATAACACCATGATAGCTTTTGAATCCTTTCACAAACTAAACAGACTGAACAATCCTAAACATGGATGGGTGGTAATAAAAATTAATATAGAAAAGGCCTATGAAAGACTTGAATGGAACTTCATCAGAGAAGCTCTTATTAATATGGATATCCCTACCGACTTTATCTCTTCTATCACGACTTGTATCACTACAACCAATTTTAATGTTCTTATAAATGGGAATCCTTCTGGTAACATTAATCCTACTAGGGGGATCCGCCCATGGGATCCCCTATCTCCATATCTTTTTATTATATGTGCTGACATATTTTCTACTCTTATGAAACATGCTCAGACTAGTCACCTTATTACTGGAATTAAAGATGCAAAAATAGCTCCTAACATCACACATCTCCTCTTTGCGGATGACAGTCTGATTTTTTGCCAGGACACAACAAAAGAAGCTAGAAATCTAAGCAAAATCTTTCAAAAGTATCAAGACACCTCAGGACAAAAAATTAATTATAACAAATCTGAAATACAATTCAACTCTGGAAAGTTTCCAGAATATTCTTAACATTCCTATTGTCTGATCCAATTCAACATTGTCTGGGTCTCCCTACTCAGATCAACAAGTCTAGAAATCAAAGTTTTGGGTACATAGTGGACAGAATCAGAGATAAACTCCAAAGTTGGAAGGAAAAGACTCTATCCTATGCTGGCATAGTAACTCTTATAAAATCTATTGCTCAAGCTATTCCAAAGTCATTGGTTCTTATTATTGCAATATCCATCACCATTGGAACACTCTACCTTGTTTTTAGTCCAAAGCTTCCTAAATACTCAGTAGACAGATTGAGAATAGCACAGTTAACCATAGCTTCCTAAATACTCAGTAGACAGATTGAGAATAGCACAGTTAACCATAGCATATCATATCAAATCTTGTTTTTAGCCAAAGCTTCCTAAATACTCGTAAAAGTCGAATGAACAAATTGGATACCTAAGCATTTTAACCATAGCATATCAAATTTTGTTAAGAAAAACATTCAAATCTAACTGAACTACATGCTATTTGCCTTAAAAAGATCTTTAACTTCCAAGCATGATTCATCACTTTTTTTAGGGTTAATGTTCTCATGAAAATTATTACAAATGTGTTGGCTAATAGACTTAAATCTTTTCTGCCTAAACTCATTAGCAATAATCAGAGTGCCTTTGTCCATAAGAGACTCATTTCTGATAACACCATGATAGCTTTTGAAGCCTTTCACAAACTAAACAGACTGAACAATCCTAAACATGGATGGGTGGTAATAAAAATTAATATAGAAAAGGCCTATGAAAGACTTGAATGGAACTTCATAAGAGAAGCTCTTATTAATATGGATATCCCTACCGACTTTATCTCTTCTATCACGACTTGTATCACTACAACCAATTTTAATGTTCTTATAAATGGGAATCCTACTGGTAACATTAATCCTACTAGGGGGATCCGTCCATGGGATCCCCTATCTCCATATCTTTTTATTATATGTGCTGACATATTTTCTACTCTTATGAAACATGCTCAGACTAGTAACCTTATTACTGGAATTAAAGATGCAAAAACAGCTCCTAACATCACACATCTCCTCTTTGCGGATGACAGTCTGATTTTTTGCCAGGACACAACAAAAGAAGCTAGAAATCTAAGCAAAATCTTTCAGAAGTATCAAGACACCTCAGGACAAAAAATTAATTATAACAAATCTGAAATACAATTCAACTCTGGAAAGTTTCCAGAATATTCTTAACATTCCTATTGTCTGATCCAATTCAACATTGTATGGGTCTCCCTACTCAGATCAACAAGTCTAGAAATCAAAGTTTTTGGTACATAGTGGACAGAATCAGAGATAAACTCCAAAGTTGGAAGGAAAAGACTCTATCCTATGCTGGCATAGTAACTCTTATAAAATCTATTGCTCAAGCTATTCCAAAGTCATTGGTTCTTATTATTGCAATATCCATCACCATTGGAACACTCTACCTTGTTTTTAGGCCAAAGCTTCCTAAATACTCAGTAGACAGATTGAGAATAGCACAGTTAACCATAGCTTCCTAAATACTCAGTAGACAGATTGAGAATAGCACAGTTAACCATAGCATATCATATCAAATCTTGTTTTTAGGCCAAAGCTTCCTAAATACTCGTAAAAGTCGAATGAACAAATTGGATACCTAAGCATTTTAACCATAGCATATCAAATTTTGTTAAGAAAAACATTCAAATCTAACTGAACTACATGCTATTTGCCTTAAAAAGATCTTTAACTTCCAAGCATGATTCATCGCTTTTTTTAGGGTTAATTTCCAGACAACAATTCTAACAAACAAACATCATCTTACATCGACGTTATTGATGAAGAAGATAATTTCAAACCTCTGAGGAGAAGAAGAACACTTACTTGGAGATGAAGAAGAACACGTTATTGATAAATGACAGCGATTTGTGAAGATGAAGATAATTTCAAACCGATGAAGATGAAGTCGTTGAGAGGAGGGTTTGAGAGATGATGGAACAAAGGGAGTAATGGAGATGACGAATGGAGAAGAAGATGAACAGCGATTTGTGTTTCTGGAAATCTGATTTAGGGGTTAGGGGTTTAGAAATAAATTAACAAACCAAAGGCAGCGCTTTCAAGAAGCGCTGCTAAAGGTACCCCCCTTTAGCAGCGCTTTAGGCTTACCCCCCCTTTAGCAGCGCTTTTAGATTTACACAAAGGCAGCGCTTTCAAGAAGCGCTGCTAAAGGTACCCCCCTTTAGCAGCGCTTTAGGTTTACCCCCCTTTAGCAGCGCTTTTAGACTTACACCTTTAGCAGCGCTTTTTGAAAGCGCTGTCTAAAGCATACCCTTTAGCAGCGCTTTTATTAATTTTTTAATTTTAATTTTTTTTAAAACCCTATAGCAGCGCTTAGGGAGAAAAAGCGCTGCCTTTGATGAGGCCTATAGCAGCACTTTTAGTAAGCGCTGTCTAAAGTTTTTTTTTTTGGATACCTACAGCAGCGCTTTTGCATAAGCGTTGTCTATGTAGCGATGCCAAAACTCGTTTTTGGCGTAGTGTTAGCCCGATTTGTTCATCAAGCCCAAATGGATTCATACTATTTAAAGGAATACTCTAAACCTAACATGTAAACAAAGAAGATGCATTTTTGAGACTATCAATTAGGGTTTAGTTTGTTCATTTTTCATTGTTTATTGTTCATTGTGAGCCACTCTAGTATCACCTTGATGCTTGAGTTGGACTGCTAGTTGAGTTGTAATTGTGAATAACTCATAAGTGTTGTATCCCAAAATTTTCCCTCCTGATTTCTCTTTTATTTGAGTTATGTTTCTCATTTCATCTGTGTCACTCCATTAGGTTATTTGCATGCCATACATGTCATACCCCAATTTTGTCCGAACATTTTACTATTATATGAGTTTTATTAATCTCGAATGAATAAGATAGCTTGTTTGATAGTGAAGTGTGGATTTAAGGAATTACATGCATGAAGTCCCGAGTTCAAATTTTTCCTTCTCCCTTAATTGTTTTATTTTCTTTCTTTCTCTCAAATTTTCACCTTTTTATGATTGTTGTTACTATTAAGATAGATTTATATTAGTTATTATTATTTTATTCTCATTATTAGATTTATTTTATTATTAGATGTAGTAATAATATTAGTGATAGGTGTATTTTTATAATGCTATTATAATTGGTACTTTTTTTCCTTTTTAGTTAATTAAATCATTAGAAAAGATATATAAAAAAATGGCCAAATCTATTCCTTCCTCTTCTCCACGTATCAGCCAAAAAGAGAAAAACATTCGAAATTCAAAACTTCCAAAACCAGTATCTCAAATCTCTGCAAATCAATTCTGATCTTCTCAAATAAATATTCATAAAGTCCACAAATCAGTCCAAATACATAAGCTTGTCCTCTAAGTTTTAAGTAAAACAAATCATTTCAATCTTTCCAAAATAAACAAAACTTGCACAAAATCATTATGAATTAAAAATCATTCCAAATCAAATTTCATAATTCAATGCAAAGATAACTTGTCCTCCGCTGATTACCGACCACACGTCTCAGATTGCATCTTTATCACTCAACGTCGCCGCCTACAACAACCTTCGCCACCGCATCTTTGTTTGGTAACCATCTCGATCTCTTCCACAATTTATTTTGAGTTTTAATGGAATTGTTGTGCTGTTGTTCTAAAAACAACGGCAATTGGTGAGAAAGAGATGAAAAAGAACCATGAAGAGGAATGGTATTTTGAGAATTCGATTCTATTTCTAGACATATTGTGAATTTTTTTTTAAATAATTCAGTTTTAAAGTTTTGATACTAAACTAATCAATCTAAGAGAATAATTCTCATTCTAATTATGTTTAAAAAAAAAAATAAGTGAACTTATTTGAAGTTTTTTATATATTTTTCAAATTTTTTTTTAGTTATATATAAATTTTTTATAGATTTAACATTACCTACTAATTTATCTACAAATTTTTTTATGGAATTGCTTACCGAATAAAAATCCGCAGATAAGTTTACAAGTAATTCGCAGAGAATGTTAAATAATCGATGTATATAACATTTTTTTGAAATAGAATTATTTGTATAAATTTTTCTACAATATAATTATTTATATATATTTTTTTAAAACAGGTTATTGCTAAAAAAAAATTCACTTTTCTTTTTTTATTCTTTTAATATATAGTCACTTGTCTATACGTTAGTGAATATTTGTTTTTGAATAAGTCTTTTTTTTCATTAAAACTTATTAAGCAAATAAACAAACAAATGTTAAGAAAAATGGTGAGTGAATCTCCTCACGTCCACGTTAGTTTTGATTTATCTTGTTTTTTTTTTATATTTATTATTATTGAACTAGGTTTTTTAGGATAGATTAACTACTTTTTTTAGGGATAGATTAATCAGAACCTCTTTAGTGTAATTATATTTATTTTTTTATCTCTAACTAAGCTATGTTAATTTATTTATTTAATTTTTTAATCATTATCTAAAAAGTATAAGAATAATAAAAAAAAGGCAAAATACTTATTTTGGTCCCTTAACTATACCCTTGGGTTCACGTTGGTCCCTTAACTTTTTTTCGTGTCATTTTGATCCATTAACTTTCAAAAAGTTTCATTTCAGTCCTTTTTGTCTAATTAGCGACGGAAAAACTTTGAAATTCGTCGCTAAATCCGTCGCTAACTAGACAAAAAGGACTGAAATGAAATGTTTTGAAAGTTAAGGGATCAAAATGACACAAAAAAAAAAGTTAAGGGACCAATGTGAACCCAAGGTTATAGTTAAAGGACAAAAATGAGTATTTTGCCTAAAAAAAACATGCTCTTTTCTTTCAATAGATTATTTTATTCACAAAAACACAAAAATATGACTATTTCTTGTAATTGAAAAATAGCAAACTTGTACATATTTTGCAATAGTTGTAAATAATTATCCCGTATATTATTTAACCAAAATATAATTTAAAAAAAATATTTCTTTTCTTATCTCTAAAGTCATTTTGCAAACAAATCTCTTTTTTTTTTAAACAAATATTACAAGAGGTTCCTATAGAGTATTATAGATGTTTTAGGTGCTAACACATTTTTTTTCCATAATCAATCTTGTACTCTTATCTCTTTATTTTTGTAGATTTTATTCGCTTTTTTCCCATTTCTTTTGAAAACAATAAAGTTTGGTGGCGACTCTTGCTTTTGTGATTTAAATTAATCAATAGATTAGCGACTCTGCTGGGGAACTTTCTCAAGTGGGTTGAGTCTATCTAAGATTAGGATGGGTAATATAGTTATGTTGGCTTTGAAGGATTAGTCCTGAAAAAGCTGACATGAGATCCCTCACTCAGTGGAGGCCCCTTTGAGGGTAATGATGTTTACCGAGTAATCGATAAGTCGTTGTTTCTTTTGACCTAGGAGTCTGAGAAGTTGAGGACCTTAGAACCCTTTAATCCAACTTTGCCTTTTAGGATGTAGTGTGATGACTATGAAGGAGTAGTCTTGAAATAGTTGACATGTGATGTTACACTCAGACGAGTTTTTCTTGAGAATATTATTGGTCCTCGAGTAGTCAGAAAGCCGGTAATATCTCAAAGAGGATTGAAGAATCTAGGAACTTTTTAGAACCTTGTTCTATAGGTTATTAAACCCTTAGTACATACCTTGTGGGTGGTTTTTACCTTGACACCATGCTCGTGACTTTAAACATGTGATCCTGTTATAGTGTTTTGCATTGCATAACATTGCATATCATTTACATTTTTTGCATAATTCATGCATACATTCGAGATTGCCCAAGATCTCTTTCCAGTTGTCTCTTTCTTTTAGTTATATGTTAAATCGTCAAGTTATTTCCTTAACACAAGTACGGGACTAGAGCTAATATCAGACGAAGAATGGCATACCAAGAATCGCATAATGCAAAAGTTAGAATGGAAATTGATGAGTTGAAGTCAGGCATGACCAAGCTTACTGAAATGTTACAAGTTCTGATTGTCAGAGGGGAGTCACCTCAAAGGACTGTTATCTCAGAAGTTGCATATGTTGTTATTGATCCTCAGCTTAACCAGAGGCTAGCCACTACATGGCCAGAGTTTAGTTTACCTCCAGTCTATTCTCCATCTTTTGCAACTACTTCAATGGTTGGTAAATCTTCTCGACCGTTGTTCCAAGCTCCTGTATTCACTGAACCTCGACCTTTTGTTCATACTACTACCCAAGCGGTCCAAGCTGTTTATGAGAATCCTCTCTTTGAGTACCATGCTGCCGGTGTCCAAAATGAATGTCACGAAGATGTTATTGAGCATGAAGATGTCCGAGAAAATTTTAAGACATTGGAAAAGAAAACGAGGCCCATGGAAAGTAATGAGTTCTTCAGTGTTGATGCTAACAACATGTGTTTAGTTTTTGACCTTGTGATGTCTGCAAAGTTCAAGACTCCTGAGTTTGAGAAATACAAAGGGCATACATGTCTGAGAAGTCACTTGGTCATGTACTTCAAAAATATGGATGCCTATATCAACAATCAGAAGTTGCTCATTCATTGCTT